TTGTTGTTGGATATTTATTGAGTAACTTTCTAAGATAGCATTACCTTTGAATAGATTGACTAAGAAGAGTGTTGTTTTTGTGTGAGATAGTAAGTGTGAGAGTAGTTCCCAAATTCTTAAGGAAAGATCGACTAGTGCACTAGTGTGACCATTGGCCGATCTTAGTAAGCCTTTTGTGGTATAGGTTGATGTTTCTAAGATAGGTTTGGGTGGAGTGTTGATGCAAGAAGGAAAGGTAGTAGCTTGTGATTCTAGGCAATTGAAAACTCATTACTAATCGGCCGTGAGTTATGAGTCTACTATGCTTGTTTGGTAGATGAATGATGAAATGAATTGTGGAACTTATTGATGTGCTAATGATGAACGACTATGTTTGTTGTTTATTTAATTGTGTGTACTCTAATAATGTTTTGCTTTATGGTGAAGATAATGATAATGATGATGATGTTTCACTTGCGTTGTTAGTGTTGTGCTTGCACTTATATTGTTTTCTCATAGTTTGGCTAAAAGACATGATATAGCTTAGTTGATGCTAGTCATGATTGCTTATTTGTTTTGATACTTCTTGCTTACGTAAGAAGTAGTTGTTGAGTGGTATTGCTCGTGTTGCGAGCATATGTGCCAGTAGTAGTGGACGAAGCCTTGTGCTAGTTAACTAGAACTGTTAGAACCTTGGATGTGGGTAAGACATTCATTTGTCGAGTGTATTAAGAGTTTTCGATTGGTGGAGTTTCCGAAAGCCATAGTTGTAGTGATTGAATCCAAGAGGTTATGTGTTGAGTTTGATCTTGGGAGAAGGTCTGATGTTGTAGCAGATATCTTGAGTAGGATGACCATTCCCCTATCGTCTTTGATGATTTTAAGGTTGGATTTGATTGAAGAGTTTAGAGACTTAGGCTTGGTGCGTAAAATTAGCCTTAAGAGCATTGGATTGAGTATGTTGGAAAGGACTAATAGATTAATAGATGAGATTAGAGAAGACCAGGAGTTACATCCTTTCTTGGTGAACCAGGTGGAGAAGTTTAGTAGGAGTATGGATAACCCGTTTCGAGTAGGAGTTGATGTTGTTTTGAAATTCAAGAATAAAACTTGGGTGCTTAGTAATCCTGAATTAAGGAAGATGATCTTAGAGGAAGGACATAAGAGCACTTTTAGCATTTATTTAGGAGCTACTAAGATGTATCAGAGTGGCACAGTGGAAGCGTAGTGGCCTAAGGTGAAGAGAGGAGTAAAGGAATTTGTGTACTCGTGTTTAGTATGCTAGAGGTCTTTAGGACTTTTGCGCAGCCTTTAGAAGTCCCATTTCGGGAAGTGAGATGGTGTGTAGATAAACTTTGGTTGTAGGCTTGCCTAAGATGATTATGAAATTTGATTCTTTTTGGGTTATAGTGGATAGACTCACCAAGTTTACTTGTTACCCTTGTTGATAATAGACATTCCTGAGTGAAATTGATAGAGTTGTACATTTATAAGGTAGTAAGGTTGCATAAGAATTAGAAAGTAAGATGCGAGGAGTCTACCATTGCAAAAATTTCAGGGACGAAATTTTATAAGGAGGGGAGAATTGTAACAGCCCAATTTTCAATGGGCCAAGAGCCCAATTAAGGTGGTTTAGTAGACCGGAACGGGCCGTTCCAAACCATTAAATTTTGCCTATGATTCTTAGTTGGGAACGGGCTGTTCCCAACTGGAATGGGTCGTTCCGAATTTTAGAAATGGCCTTTGAACCTTATTGAGAACGGCCCGTTCTGGTTTCAGAATGGGTTGTTCCAAAATATGACCGTTGAGAGTTTTGAATGCAAACCCCAGAACGGGCCGGTCTGGTTTCAAAACGGGCCGTTCTGGATGTGAATTTTACACATGACGTGAGATTTCAGAATGGGCCACTCCGGATTTGAAACGGGTCGTTCCGCGAATCCTGATGCCTATAAATTGAGTGCTCTGGCACTCCCAAAATCATATTTTTCAGTTCTGACTTTTTTCAGTTCTGACTTCTTTCTTCTACATTCTCTTCTTTCCCTTCTACACTCTCTGAAGACCGATGGACACTTAGAGGAGGAAACCAAGAGATTTCTATTTTAGTTTCAACTGTTGTTTATCTAGGTACGGGGAAAAAGGGATTATTTGTATGTAGAGTTACATGAAGGAATTGGGTAGAGGAAGAGTCCCTTAAGATTATGAGTAATTTTATAATTATTTCTGTTCGGAGAATTATTGGTCTTATGTGATTCTGCATGAATTTAGGATTATGAATATATATTTAATTTGTAAGAATGATGATTTGGGAGAGAGAACGAAATTATAGAAAAGTGCATGTAAGTTAGGTTGTGGAAAATTGGATTATTTTTGTTTGAAGAATTGATGATCCCATTAGATTATGTATGTGTTGAGGATTAGAAATATATATTTAATTTGTAAGAATGAGGATCTGGGAGAGATAACGAAATTGTAGAAAAGTGTCTGTGAGTTAGGTTTTAGAATAATTGGGGGTTTTATCATTTATGTTAAGATTATATTAAATTGGTAATTCCATTGATTATTATATTAATTTATGAATGTTATTGTTATATTACTTGATAAGAATTGATGATCTAGATGTGAATTGCTCGAAGGGTGTGTAAACCCTTATTTTGTTGGACTTATCTGTTGTGTATATGATATGGAATTGTGTATGTAATATGAAATTGAGATATGAGATGTGAGAGGTTGTGTGGATATGATTATGATTGTGATTATGGTTCCTCACATCAATGACCAGGGATGGCATGGCCCTTGGGTAAGTGATGCTACAGGGAGGGCGTGACCCTGGCATGGTGTGGGATGAGTGAGACAATTGACACGTATCACTTATGTCAAATATGGCAGCCCTGACATAGGGTTAATTGCAAGAGATTGTGTGGATTGTGATGTGATTGTGGTTCCTCATATCAATGACCAGGGATGGCACGACCCCTGGGTAAGTGATGCTACAGGGAGGGCGTGACCCTGGCGTGGTGTGGGATGAGTGAGACAATTAACCCGTATCACTTATGTCAGTTGTGGCGTGGCCTTGGCATAGTGTTAATTGTAAGATTTTGTGTGAATTGTGATAGATTGATGAAATTGTGGATTGAGATGTGAAGATGATAAATGATTGTTAACTATGATATATATATAAATGCTTGTGAATATTTCATTAAGTAATGAATAATGATGAGATTATGTTGTGTTTTCCTTATGTGTTTTACATATAGATGTTTTCTTTTCTCACCGTACAATTTGTGGATGTTTTAGGTGAGGAAGATCTGACTTTGAATGACATCTAGAATGTCAACCGTTGATTTATGGGTATGCTCTGATATTGTGATATCGGGACAAAGGATTTCTAGGGCATGAATTGTATCTGTATATGGAGTTGAACTTATTATCTTAAAAACATTTTGTAACCTCTTATATTTTATTTCCCAAGTTTCATTTTCAAAATATTTCGGATATTGAAGAATGTTTCTAAAGGTTTTTATGAGAACCCTTTTACCTATATTGAGAGATTTATTTTTTAGCTTATTTACATTGTTACTATATATGTGTTGGGATAGTAAGGGTGTCACATGCAGAACGGCCCGTTCTAAAACCAGAACAGCCCGTTCTAGCACGTTTAGAACAGACCGTTCTAAAACCAGAACGGCCCGTTCTGAAGTTGAATTTAACTCACAATGACCATTTTGGAACGGCCCGTTCCAGTCCAAGATTCATAGGCTTATTTAGTAGTTTGGAACAGCCCATTCCAATTTGGAAACGTCCCATTTTGAGCTACTAAATCACCTATGACCTTCTAAAATACTTTCTACGTTACACAGTATACACAACGTCAAAAATTTAATTTTTTTTGTCCTCAGTATAATTTTTCTACTCATAAAAATTACATTTCTCTTGAAATTTTTTTTTAACTACTCTTCAAAAAACATATTCTAGTTTGGTAAAAAAATTCAATAAAATAACATCCTTGTAATAACTTTTTATGGATAGTAAAATTTATCAATCCAACCATTATATTTTATACAGTTTCATCACATTTTATAAAATTTCATACGATTAAAATAATGTTTGATACTTCTTTGTACACTATTATATTTTAAAATATAATATGTATTATCTATTAAACATATAGGAATATAAAGTTTGTGTAAAATTTATTATATATAATTATTAGGATTAGGAAATAAATAAATTTAGATTTTTATATAACATTTTTTTTATAAATAACATGATCAATTTCCTTTTCGGTTAAGATGAACAGCATAGAATTTCTATACTTCTTTCTGTTTCCTCTAATACCCATTTAGATAGTATTCATTAAGAAAATAAATAAATTTTCTATGCACGCCATTGGATGATGAAAAAAAATTACTAAAAGAAGTAGAATCCTTACCTTTAATAATAATATTAAATAATTTCTTTTATAGTAAAATATTAAAGGTAGAAAAGAAAACTTGATGCAACATCAATCCTAAACTGCGATATTTCCCAAAAACAAAGAAAAAACTCGAGAGAATCCACTTCCTTAAGACATACGATATTTTACCATACATAAATAATCCAATTACCAAATTAAACACAATAATTAAATTATTTTTATAATTTTACAAAAAATAAGTATATACAATTAATACAACCCTAAATACAAATTATTTTTTCTAATTTTACAAAAGGAAATATATTCAATAAATACAATTCTAAATATCAACAAGTTGTTAATTTCAGAGAAAAACTGAATTCATTTTCTTAATAAGATTTCATATTAAAGTCTTTTTAAATAAATAAATAAATAACATGATTGAAAAAAAAATATTCTGATAAAGATAGTTGAAATTATCAATGATAATTAGGCATTAATCAAGTTGATAAATACTTTTTATAATAATATAGTTAAAAAAAATAAAATATAATTAATAATTATTGGTTGATCACTATAAACATCATCAAGAAACCCATCAATTTATTTCCTCCCTCCCCTACAAACTCAAGAGACTTTGCCAAAGAGAGAGAAAGTGTTATGGCTAAGAGGGCAGTGTTAATAGGATGCAACTACCCTGGCACAAAGGCTGAATTGCGAGGGTGCATCAACGATGTGTGGAGAATGCACAAGTGCCTCACCAACATATATGGATTCTCAGAAAAAGACATCATCGTCCTCATTGACACCGATCGTTCCTACACCCAACCCACTGGCAAGAACGTAAGATTAGCCTTGTCAAAGTTGATTCGGTCGGCAAAGTCCGGCGATGTCCTCTTCGTCCATTATAGCGGCCATGGCACACGCCTGCCCGCTGAGTTGGACGAGGAGGACACCACCGGTTATGATGAGTGTATTGTTCCTACTGATATGAATCTCATCACAGGTAGGTTAACTACTAATTAAACATTGTTTCTCCTTAGTATGTTTTAGTATGTTTTGCTTTGTATATGTTGGTTTTTGATGGAAAAATTATTGTATGGTTTGAAATTATTTTGTAATGTTGGTCAATTTTCATGCTACATGTAATTGGGTTTTTAATTTACAAGAAATTGATGAAAATTCTTTTTATAGTTAATGATTATGAGTGTATTTAGGAATCAGTTGAATTCAATTGGAATTGAAAAAAAAAATTACATTTACAATTTTTTATATATTAAAATTTGTATTTTTTCATTCAACGTGATTTCAAAGTAGTATCTAAATACACTATAACGATTTAGTCCTAGTCATTTTTTATCTGATGTATAGTTGGGGTTTTTAATTTACGAAAAAAGTTAATTAATTTTGATTGTGTTATCTGGAAATTAGTTAGAATCATAAACATGTGATGGTTTCATGCAATATAATAATTTTTCGTTTTAAAGATACTTATTTTCAAAAAAATTATCGAACTAAAATGATAATTTTTATGATTTTTTTATATAAAAATAAATAAATATTTTTATCCTCATTATATGAAGCATAATCAACTTTTATATGTGTTAATTATTATTTTTTTTCTTCTGTATTCTTAATTTATTGTGAGATATATGACTTTTGGACCACCACTATTGATGTTTAATGCTAATGTATACAAGTTAAAATATATTTAAGATTACTTGTAAATTATATTTTTTTTTTCTAAAATACCCACATTTAATATCTATATATTATGAGAATAATTTTGGAGTAAGATATAATTATTAAATGAGGATATATGTGAAAAATTAAAGCATAAACGAGACAATTTTTTTTAAAACATTAATAGTCTCGGAGAAAAAAACACAAAGAAAGATTAAAAATATGGTTGGAAGAAGAGATTCTACTAAAAGTGATCAATCATATTATTCAATAAAAATTAATTACCATATCAGCAAAACTATAAATATTTCGTATTAATAACATTAAAAAAAATAATAATAACCAGACATTCCCACACTTTCTTAATAATATAAGTCATATTTATTTGAAAAAATTATCTTTTAATTCAGTTGATGTCATTAAATATAAATATGACTAAGTTATTTAATTTTATAAGTAATTTAAAAATAAAATTTTAATTTATTATATTATGAATTAAAATTAATTAATTTTATTTTTTCATTGATTTTAATAAATTAGTTAATTATTTTTTTATAGAAGTATAAGGGAGAATATTTGATGGAAAATATAATGATGGGTGGAATCATAAAATGTTAAACAATTTTATTATATATTTTTTTCTTTTAAATTCTTAACTACTATGACAACAGTTATTGCTGTTTTTATTAATTCTGTTATGTTTTAATACAAATCTTTTATGTAGACGTACGGCCCCAAGTCTGCTGGACAGACAAGGAGAGTTGTAACATGCAATTCGCAACAAAGCTCTAAAATTATTTGTTCTATCTATTAATTTCTCAATTTCATAATAAATAGATGAAAAAAATATAAATCAATTTTATAGTTAATTTTAAAAAATAATAAAATTCAATAATCATTTTTTAAAATAAGAAGCACTATATGATGAAGGTATAAATAAAAAAAATAATGATTAATATTATGTTAAAAAAAATTAACATAACACTTTTTCAAATGTGACATTCATAATGAGATAGAAGGAGTGTTATTTTTTCTTTCCTCTCTTTTATTTTTTTCTCGATACATCTCATTTTTGGGTGTACGATTATGATAACACTATTTGATGAGATCCACGTGAAATTTCACCTAAAGAAAGTGTTAGTATTCATACATTTCTTATATTCAGCATTGTTGAGTCAAATGTTATTAATGCTAAGAGTTACATTTTGTGTTCAAACAAACAGATGATGATTTCAGGCAATTTGTAGACAAGGTCCCAAGGGGTTGCAAAATCACAATCGTTTCAGATTGTTGCCACAGTGGTGGCCTCATTGAAGCAACAAAGGAGCAAATAGGAGACAGCACAAATGATCATGAAGCACCCCAAAATAATTCACCTTCTCTATTTCACTTCACAAACTTTCTCCACCGAAACATGGAACAACAAGATCAAGAACAAGAAGAAGACACCATCGTGAAGAATCGTTCTCTGCCTCTTTCCACTCTCACGGACATACTCAAGGAGAAAAGTGGCAAAGAAGACATAGAACCCGGGAAAATGAGACACACCCTTTTCAACATCTTTGGGGAAGATGCAAGCCCCAGAGTGAAGAAGTTCATGAATTCAGTCATAAGCAAACTCCAACAAGGAAGAAGTGGTGAGAGTGGGGGACACAGAATAATGGGGCTGGTGGGTGATCTTGCACAACATTTGTTTGAGCAAAAGCTAGATGAGGATGATGATCATGATCATGATCATGATCATGATCATGATCTTGATCATGATGATGAACGTGCAAATGCAAATGCAACACGTGGGGGGAGCAAGAAAGAGGAAAATGCTGCATTGATCAAGCGCAACCTTTTGGATTGTGGGATTCTGTTGAGTGGTTGCCAGAGTGACCAAACTTCTGCTGATGCGTGTCCTAAGGGGAATTCTGAAACGGCTTATGGGGCATTCAGCAATGTCATACAGGGAATAATGGAAGAGAATGATGGGGCAGTCACGAATCGAGAGCTTGTTTTGAAGGCTAGGGCTATGCTTAAGAGGCAGGGTTTTTCTCAGAAGCCTGGACTGTATTGCAGTGACAGTAATGTTAATGCTCCTTTTGTGTTGAACTGAGGGTTGCACTGTAAAAGTTTGTCTGGTGTTTGGAAGATTTTTAGTGTGTTTATTGAGAGTATTAAAAACATGTACTTTGTCTGTGATTTCAATGAAGATCAGCAGGATCTAATATGTTGAATTATTATGATGTGTTTCACTTTGTTTGAATTAACTTGTTCACTGGTATGTATTTATAGGATAAGACAATACTATGATAAAAGAAATTGAGTTTCTCTCGTAAGTTTAAATCACTTCAAATTTTTAGAAGTTAGATGAGAGAACTTCAGGAAGTTACTCAATAATTCACTTTATTTATTTTTTGATTTTTGTTTTAAGTGCGAACATGGCCATTTGTTAGTGACTAAAATCATTTTTTATGTTGGGTTTGTAAGTACCCTTGTATCTGAGACCATTAATAATATGTACCATAATGTATGATGTCGATGATAATGTATAGAACTATATATGCAAGTATGTATGTATATCTATGTGACAACCAGGCCATCTATTGTTGTATTTCACTGTTTGAACGTAATCACCTTTGCAAATCCTTTCACCATCCCAAAAGTACAGCAACGAGCTTGAATCCTTTTGTGAAACTAAAGTCTAAAATTGGTTGCGACCTTCGAACAGCAAGGTATTGTGGATGACAAATTAGTAGAAACTTTTCGCGGTATAACACTTAGTTAAAATTATAACATAGGTATGAAGATAGTATCTAATTAATTATTAGAAATTTTTCGTAGATTAAAAAATTTAAATGCATATTAGAATTATAGATATTTGATTATGGTCAACTATCTAACAATTTCTCTCTAATTACTATTTTGTTAGAAGTAATTAGCTCTTAGAGGTTGGGTGAATCCTAGTGTCTCTGGTTATTCGATTTCCTAAATCTATGTGGAATCTAGAAACGATTTTAACAAAGTATAATTTCACCTTTGACAAAAATGGGATCAAAATGCATGTACAGAATAGTGTGTGGCCTAGGTAGCTACAATGTTAAGGTTATTAACCAAATCAGTTCAATTTATAAAAATTATTCGGTTAACTGAACCATTATTTTTAAAAGTGAATTTATTTAGTTTTTTCTAAAAATGGATCAAACTTTTAAATTAGATTAGTTTGGTGTAATTTAATCATCTACTTTATATACTTGTATATTAGTTTAATTTTAAAAAAAATAAACTAAATCAAACTGATTCTCTTTATAAAACAAAATTAGTTTGATTAATCGAATGCTTTTATAAAGTGGATTAAGTTGATTTTTTCTCAAAATAAATCGTTTTTTATAATATAGATTGATGAATTCAATAAAGATATATCGCACATTCCTAATAAAAGTTTACCTTGTTTAGAATATGATAGAGGGTAGTATAAACACAAGGATAATTCTTGTGGTGAGGAGTTTGAGTAATAAGTTTCTAAAATCTTTCAGGATTTTTGTTTCTAGAATCTGATTATTTGGCAAAATGCTGACATATTTTGATCTTCTGAATTATTTAGTGAATTCTGATCGGTCTTAATTTCTTCTACCTGTTATCATTAATACAAGAGTCATGCAAATTGATATTCGAAAAGGGAGTTACTATGGTACCCTAAAAAATAAAGGGGTTTCAATACATTTTTTTATATAAATTCATAAAATATTTTAAAAAAATTAATTTAATTATAAAATGAATAATCTAAATTATACTTATAAAATAAAAAGTAAGATAAAATTATAGAAATTAAAATTATAAGATTTTAATAATATTATAAAATATTAAAAAAGAAAAAAATTAATAAATAGTAAAAATAAAAAATTATTAAAATTACAATATAAAAATTCTAAAATTTAAGACAAAAAGACAAAAAAAAATATACTTAAAAAATTATTAAAATTAAAATATAGAAATTCAAAATTTTAATTTAAAAAAATTAAAGAAAAATAATTTAAAAGTAGTTATCGATGTTATTTAAGAGAGATTTTTTTTTTCTTGGGAATTAATGATTTATTAAAAATGGAAATAAAAAACAGGTGCACCATTTTATCTCTTTTATAGTATGTATTAACATATAATAGGCACAAAATTGTACATATTTTAAAATAAAAGAATAAGTTGTTTGAATCAGTGTCACTTCCACAACTCCTCATGGTTGCCTCCACTTTCTCTAAAAATAAAATAACTAAATAATTTAAAAATTAAAAGAATAAAATATTATAAATATTATTTAAATAAATTATTAAAAATATAAAATATAAAAAAACTGTACCGGTACCCTCTCAAATAAGATGGGTACCGTAGAATTTCTCATTCGAAAATCTCCTAACATAGTTATGACTTATGAGCTTCTTCTGATATGACATTTGTGCTACTTTTGAAACAATAAATTGATGTAGTGTTCCTTGTTTTTGGATCACAATTTTCAACCACATATAATTTTCTACCCTTTGATCATCTTTTGTTCAGATTCTATCTTCTAATTAACATAGTTTCTAATAATAAATAACTAATTCCTATTTTTAACGTGTAGGCTTAAAAGGGTCATAGGAAATATTAGAGATTTTTAATTTAGTTATTGTTCTTAATAAAGTGGGATAAGAATTTAATACAATCTTACAAAATCTTATGAAAGTTTTATCTATTTATATATACTATTATAATTTTATTCCTAATCAATGTAAGATCACTAATACATTCCCTCTCAATGATTGAACATTTCGATTGTAAAATTTGCAAAATTGAATTTTTGTGTATGGTCTAATAACAATTCAATAGTGAGTAATTTGATAAGTCTAATAATACTCATTATGATAAACTCTAATACTATCTTAAAAAAATAGGTTAAGAGTCTAACTTTACAAGTTTATTTTATAGCGTTGAATTAGGCTCCAAATCACTTTTCTAAAATGATATCATAGTATATTTAAACTTATAGTCTCGTAATTACGATTGTTAGTAGATTTATTAGGTCATCCGCTATTGATTATTATCAAACCACCTGTAAATGCCTAGTTTTGTAACATTTACACTCGAGATGAAAAGTTATGTTAGAGATTTCATATCAACTAAAAGTAAAATTATAATAGTGTATATAAATAAAAAATAATTATCAACTTTCAAACTTTTAATACGTGGAGTTAGATTCCGATGCACACTTTCTTAAGAATTGTCAAGTATGCCTCCTACCTCTAAGATTCATAAGGGCTGGTTCGAAAGTTACTAAACTAATCCCCTTTATATGACAAAAGAAGAGTCAAGAAGACACGCATAGTGTTAGTTGAAGAAATGCTCCAATAGTCCGAATACTACTAACCTATCATATACTCTTATCAATTAAACTTGTAATCGGTATTTTTTGAAAATGTTTTTAATATGAAAGAAAAACTAAATTCAACCTTTTTCTTATGTTTTTCTATTTATTCTTTTCAATGTTTATGGTTTTTGACAATTAATCACGATGATAAAAAAAAAGAACTTGATATATATAAATATATAATGTGATAAATAAGTTGATCATTACATAAAAAAAAAATTAAATGAAATTCAATACTATCTATATTATAAATTTAGTCTTGAGAGTCCTTTTTAATAATTACATTTTTTTTCTGCAGAATTTATTCCACCATCCACGCAAGTTAACGAATTGATCCTGACTGCTTAATTTATGAGCAACATGTCGAATGATGCTTTCTAGTTTCTACAGTTATATAATGTGGCTCATCCACTACAACACAAATGGTAATTAGCAACATTTGAAAAATATTATTTAATTATGTATAAATTTTGCTAATTTGTTTTAACAACATATTATCAAATGTTGTATATAGTTCATGTTGTTAAAGACTTTTAATAACATTTTTGCATAATTAGGTAACATTTTTTTAAATGTTACTAAAGTAATATTTTTGTAACATTTTAATAATTTTTTGTAACATTTTAATGATGTTGCCAATATTTTGTTAATTAATCTTATAAAATAATAATTAATTTTAATTTAAATATTACTATCAATTATTATATTTTTATGTCTACTAAACTTCTAAGAGTTCCTTAAGTTTTTAGGAAAAGATATTTTTAGTTAGTCACCACTAATTATATATAGAATATCAAATTTTATTTATCCTAAATATAACTATATGAGTATATATACTCTTTATAAATCATTAATCTATTCGATGTGAGACTTTAATTATGGGTTACAATTAGATATAAGAGAAATATACTTTTTTTGACTCGACGTGGAACTTTGATTTTAGAAGCAATTATAGTAACATTTTTTAAAAAAATATTGCAAAATAATTTATGTAAAAAAATTTTACTCGATATAAGACTTTGATTTTAAAAACAATTAGAATAATATTGAAATAAAAAATGTTACTCTATCTATAATGACATTTTTCAAAAAAAATATTACAAAATAACATTTATTTAACATATAGTAACATTTTAACAAATGTAAACAAGAAAATGTTGCTAAAAGATTAAAATCTAGTAGTGATCAAGAGTTTTGGCTCATCAAAGAGTTTTTTTTAATCCACAAATGTTAGTGATTACTCTGTTATATTAGTTGGAAATTCGAATCTAAACTTTTTTTTTTATCACTTCAGTCTTATGTCCCTCATCAACAGTTTTATATATGTACATTTGTTACTTTTTTGATAAATGTAGATGACATATATGTATACATATAGAAGATATTTTTTATTATTAAACAATTTTATATAAAACCTGTAAAATGATATAAAATTTTTAATTTTTTTAATATGATGAAAGAGCTTTAAATATATTTTATTTAAAGAATAAACACGGAATACTCCTTATTTTTTTATATTAAATGCTTTTATTAAAAAAGTTTATTAATGCTCGTGGAGGCAAATAACATTTTTTTCTCTATTAGATTCTTTTATTGTATAAGAAATGTTATCAATATATATACTCGATTTTCTTGTTGGTAAAATTTATATAGGTCTTACCAAATAAGTGAATTTCATCACGTATTTAATGGGTTTCTGTTAAGTCAGACGAAAAAATTCACAAAAAGGTTTTGAGTGAAACAAATATAATATATGTTGTTATCTTTAAGAAGTGAGTTAGTGTTTCAGAAAAACATAAGAACAGGTAGAATGACGAAGAGGCATAAGCATCAGATGATACAAGACGTCAGTCGAAAGGCTAACTTAAGCATCCAACAAGCCAAA